TCATCGTAGGGAAGGGCCAGCGGAGGATAGATCCAGGCAAGGTGGAGGTGATCACAAAGTGGCCGACGCCGAAGACAGTGACTGAGGTGAGGAGCTTCATGGGAGCTTGCCAGTATTTGCGCAAGTTCATTCGACATTTTTCGACTTATGCGGCACCGTTACATGGCCTCACAAAGGCTAAAGTTCAGTTTGAGTGGGGAAAGACGCATGAGGAGGCTTTTCAGTTGCTAAAAAGGAAGATCTCGGAGGCACCAGTGTTGGCGTTGCCGAATTTGCAGCGGACTTTCGAGGTAGAGACCGACGCGTCTAATTATGCGATGGGCGCGGTGTTGACTCAGGATGGGAAACCGGTGGAATACCATTCTGAAAAGTTTTCGGGTGCTGTTGCGAACTACCCAACCTACGACAAGGAGTTCTATGCGCTATATCAAGCAATTAAGCATTGGAGGGTGTACTTGTTAGGGAAGGAGGTGGTCGTGCATTCGGATCATAAGCCGTTGGAGTTCTTACATGCCCAGACGAAGCTACAGCAGGCGCGGCACATGAAGTGGATGTCTTATTTGATGGCTTTCAACATCATTATTAGGTACAAGAAGGGGGCGACGAACAAGTTGGCCGATATGTTATCTCGCCCACCGATAAGGTCGTTGTTGGTGGCGACGCGTATTCAGCCCTTGGTTCCTTTTGAGTATGTTCAGTTGTATGCATCCAGTAGAGACTTCGGTAGTGTGTTTGAGCAGGCGAAGGCTGGTCGAAGGGGGGAGTATGCACTTGGAGATGATGGCTTATTGTATCGTGGGGCATCACTATGCATTCCGGAGGATGGTGATAGGTTGCAGTGGATTCGGGAAGCACATACCTCGCGTGTGCAAGGGCATTTTGGCATTCAGAAAACGCTTCTCAATCTACGGCGACATGTGTTTTGGCCACGGATGCTTGATGATGTGACCAAGTATGTTGGAGGGTGTAAGTTATGTTGTATTTCGAAGCCTTCTAACAGAAAGAGGGGATTGTACCTACCATTACCGGTTCCTTCTAGGCCGCGGGAGAGCATTTCTATGGATTTTCTAGGAGGGTTGCCAACTACGAAGCGCGGGCATGACTATTTGTACGTTGTGGTGGACCGATTCAGCAAGATGGTGATATTGATTCCTTGTAAGAAGACCGTGACGGGAGCGGGTGCAGCACAATTGTTCTTCGAACATGTGTGGAAGCACTTTGGGTTGCCGAGTTCGATTATTTCGGATCGGGATAGCCGTTTTCTCGGGCATTTTTGGGATTCTTTGTGGAGTTTGATGGACACCAAATTGAAGAAGAGCACGGCATTTCACCCACAAACAGACGGACAAACGGAGGTAGTCAACCGGACTATGGTGCACATGTTGCGGGGGTATAATTCTAGGCATCCTAAGACTTGGGATGAGAGTTTACCATATTTGCAGTTTGCTTTCAATCGGGCGATTCATGGATCTTCAGGGAAGTCACCGTTTGAGACTTGTTATGGATTTTTACCGCCGAGCCCGTTCGATCTTGTGTTTTCAAGTGAAGCCACAGTGGACGGCAAGGAGGGGAGTGAGAGACAACGTGCTCAGCGATTTCTTGAGAAGATTGCAAATATTCATGCCACGGTTGAAGCTCAATTGAAGAAATCGCAAGCTAAGTACAAGGCGAAGCATGATCAACATCGGGTTCCTTGTAACTTTGGTAAAGGCGATATGGTATGGCTAAAATTGAGTAAGGAGAGGCTCAAAGGAGAAGGGAAGAAGTTGAAGCCTATTCGTTATGGTCCATTTCGGATTATCGATTAGATTGGCGACAACGCTTTTCGTTTAGATTTGCCACCTTACTTAGGCATGTATTCGGTGATCAATGCCGAGTACTTGAAGTTGTTTGAACCTCCGTTATTGGATGATGAAGGTGATGACAAGTTGATCTTACCGCATGTTGAAGACTTGTGGTTTGATAGAGAGGAGCCACTGAAAGAAGATTGCATTTTGGAACGGAAGACGACCACGACGAGGCGGGGGACGAAGGAGTCGTTTCTCATTGGACGTCAAGGTCAGGTACCTAGCAAGGCCAAGTGGTTCAACAGAGAAGGAGGGGCTCGCGAGTTCCCTCAGCTGAAGTTCTAACTTGAATGGGACTTCAAGTTCCTAAAGGGGGGACCCATGATACGGGTGTATCTTCTCTTCGGGAGCTTAGCGATCCTCATGGGAGCTTGAGGATAGATGATTCTCATGGTATCTTGAGAATAGAGTAGAGGAGTCGTGGACGAGGCCATTGGAAGCAACGAAGTCGAAAGGATTCATCAAAACTGCAGAAATTACAGTTGGACTCCTCTGTCCGGTCGACCGGCGTGGTCACGGCGGTCGACCGCATCGTGCACGGACCCCAACTGTGTCTCGGGACTGAGATCGGTCGACCGATGGTGGCACTGCGGTCGACCGGAGAACCCTGTAATCGATTTTCCAGATTTCGTCGTTCTGACCGGTCGACCGACTTGGGCACTGCGGTCGACCGCGTCGCGGATCCGGGCCTGGGTCTGTTTCCTGCTCCAGTTGGGATTTCTGTTTAGTATAAATAGAAACACGACTTTTCTAGGGTTTAGAACTCAGTTTGTAATCAGAAAAGAGATCAGGGAGGTTGTTCTTTGATCTAGAGAGATTGTGAGAGAGAGATTTGTAAAATCCAATTGATTCTCATAATCTAGAGAAGGTATTTTCCTTCGCCCTAATTCAACTCTTGTGTTCTTCTGTCGTTCTTCTTCTTTACCCTCTTGATAATTCCGCGATCAAGAGTGCTCGCACGGCAACTCGTATCACTAATAAGCAAATGCCAAACTCTACAGTTAAAGGAATGATTGTGATCATAGTTCGCCTTGAGAGGCTCCCCAAAGGAACCATGGGGAAACCTCCTACCTAACATACAAGTCTGCATAGAGTTCTAAGGGCTATCAGATTCCACGACTATTCGGTATCCCAAAGAGTTTGATATCAGCTTGGTAACTAACAAACTAACAAAGATTTTATTTTTTATTGGGTACCTGTGGATTACTCGACAGCAACAGCCGCTCCAAAAATAGCACCATCGCTTTCATCATATGCACAATCCGCCACAGTGGCAGCAAAAGGAACACATTGCAAAGGAAATGATATGCATGGCAAGTGATGGGATTCGAGATTTCTTGATCCATTGGCATGGGTGGCCAGGTTTTCCACAAGGTGTGAATACTGAGAAGACAACTCATCTCAACTCGGAGGTTCTAGATTTTCATTGCCACCATTCACAAGAGGCGAATATTTGAAGCCTGGGAAGTTGATAAGGATCAGCATTGCAGATTGTTTAAATGAAATTTTATCTGTTAGATACTTGGTTTGATTTTCAGTTGTGTTTGCATAAGATTTCAGTTCAGATATTATTTGCTATTGAGATTATTTGCTATTGTTTTTAGGATTAGTTTTGACAAGGTTTCCAGTTTGAGGATTATTTGATTTTATCTTTTAGGATTTAATTTTCTTTTGTTATAAATATCTATAGTTCTCATGAGAGAAGGTAGATGATGATTTATAACTTATGAATTTGAGAAACGGATATGTTCTGTGAGAGATCTTTTTGGCATGTGAGTTGTCATTTTTGCATGTGAGTTGCAAATCCTATATGGGACATATGAATTGCCATCTAACCGTCCATCTTATATCCATCTATAATCTAAGCCATCCACCAAATTAACCCTAACCTCAAGTAAACAGTAACCCTACACTCTGTTCTCGTGTGAACAGTAACTTTGATCCACTATTCATCCCTCCTTCCCTCCCCTGGGCCAGTTTTCAGTTGCACCTGAAGCGGCCATCTTCTTCGTCTTGCTCAGCCATGACGTTTGACAGACACCCACAAGCACTTTCCAACGACAACAATTCCCATGCACCACCACCAATCCTCCCCAGCATTCATCTTCAACATTCTAGTAATTCATCTAAGATCCTTGATCGCCATCGCCAGTGAGCCTCTCTCACTTCAAATTTCATCCTGCGGCGTTTCGACTATTCTGATAGACATCCAACAGGCTTGATTTTTGGATTAATTATTTGTTATTTGGTCATTTTTGGATTCAACTGTCAATTTGTGTCGACAACTGCTTGATAAGATTTATCCTTGTTGAATCCGATTGTTCCCAAGCTCTTGTGCTAGATTATCACATCTGTTGAGGAGTCTAATTAACTTGCATATTTTATACAGACTTCACATAGTTTGGGTTTGAGATTCTCACCCCTCAAGGTGAATTCTACCCACAAATCATAATTTTCATTTAGTAATATTGTTTTGCTTATAGATCTTTAGAAACTTATAATTAATTTTTTATTATTGTTATATCGTTAGATCTTATCGCATTTCTTGTGTCACATCTTCTAGATTGCATTGCTATTTTAGTGATTTAGGATTTGTTTTCACATTTAGTTGCATACATTCAGTTTAACTCGATATCTACTTGCATCCGTATGTTTGCTTGCATTCATATTAGGTTAGTGATCCCTTATTGTCTTGTCTTGTGTCATTATGCTTTGATCTTTTCCTGCTCTACTCATTTAGACCAACTTGCATTCAGATCACTTATTGCTCCCAAAATTATCATTGGCTTAGCAAAATGGAGATGAAAAACTTCACAGATTCACTGGCATTCACTTCATCACGTAATTTCTACATTTTATGAATCTCATAAGACACTATTCTAGCTTCTGTAAGAAAGTAAAATTGTTAAAAGAAGCTACAATTCTGATTTATAAAATAGCAAAACACGTTTAACGAAGGGAAACAGTTTTTAGAGGGTCTAAGACCACAATTCCTAAATGTAATTGAGGTAAGAAAAATTGCAATAACAAAAAACAAATTTGCAGATTCATTGAATATAATGGCGTTGCATTTGTATAACCAGAATGAACATATGATATGAATATCCCTGAAAATTAAGCACAAGTGAACCTCTAGAATATCATCCAACAAACCTGATATCAGAAACCAAAAAGTAGGTGTGGTATGCAAACGTAAATGAAAATGCCTTTCCATCATTATTTGTATTTCTTATCCGTGATGTCAGCATGAGATCACCTCCAGGTCCAAGGGCAACCCGTAGCCGAAATTCATAACTGAGAAAGAAAATATAGATTGCTGATATGTTAGTTTGAAGAATGTTTAGTTTGAAGAATGTTTATATGCAGTTTAACACACACTCCCCCAAACCCTTCCCCAAACCACAAATATACATAGACACGCACATGCGAGCGCACACGCACACAGGCACACACTTGCACGCGCATACACATAAATTTATATGCAGTTTAACACACTCCCCCAAACCCTCCCCCAAACCATAAATATACATAGACACGCACATGCGAGCGCACGCGCACACAGGCACACACATGCACACGCATACACACATGAATATACACCAATATACATATAATGAATCAATGATGATTAGCAAATAATGAGATCGCATACACACATAAATATACACCAATGTATACATATAATGAATCAATTATTAGCAAATAATGAGAAGAAAAGCAGAAGAAAAAAATCTTTATAAATCCAGAAAACACCAGAAATAGAACAAGTGTTAGGGCTATTTGTTGCACCTATGGGGCCAGATTTTAGCATCCTCTTCAGATGGCTTGAGGATTAGATCCACAAAAGCATTGTGGGAGATATTTGCCGGAAATGGAGGAGGGTCGGTATCAATGCTCCAAAATCTGTTCCTTGCAAATCCATGTTGTTCAAGAGTTCCATGACTGCCAAACTGCAATTGCCAGTTAAAGGGTAAGAGAGATAAAACTACATGGAAACAAAATTAACAATAAGGAAAAAGAGGTCATACCTGAGGAAAGCATATAGGGATGCCCCCACGTATAGCTTTTGGAGGCTTGAACATAGCCTGTAGTAACAAAAACGAAAAGTAAATGAAAATAATCTTAGGGGCTGTTTGGTTCAATTTCTATAAAAAAAGAGGAAAAAGAAAAGTACTCAAAATTTGATTTCCTTGTATTCTATAAAATTTGTAGGAAAAATTTATAGAACTCAAAAGAGTACCATATATGTGCAAACATTAGTTGTCAATTACTACTATTTAAGAAAACCATACTTTTGATTTTGCCCCGATATGCGTCAAGATTTCAAAAAATTCAACATGCGTCCTCAACAATTTATTGTATAAGACAAACTTGGGAAGATCTAAAACACCCTATTATCATCCATTAGTTGTCAACTCTACTCACTTTCCAGTTCCATACTTCCTAATAGTAAGATACTTTATATCAATTTTGACAATAATTTCCAAAAGTCCATTCATATTACCATTGATTGTTAAGATGCCAACGATTTTTTTTATCACAAGTTTGCTGCGTAATGCGCACATTGACGTGCACTGGAGAACTAGTGCCTAATAACGGACCTCACAGCAAATACCCACATGCCTGATATAGAAACTTATGCAACAAACTAAGCCTTTATAAACTTTTTTTCGTCTTCTAAAATGAAGACGTACAATCATAATATTTATATGAGCAAACAAAATTCTAACAAACTATATCAAATAAATTTGCAACTCATCCTCACAAAATAACAAATTTAATCTAACTAATTAACAAATTCAATCCAAACTAAATAACAAATCAAATCATAACAAAATTATCTAGTTCTAAATAAAATTAAAATTTTTAAAAATTCTAATCATAGGTGCAACATTCTAAATTGTTTGTCCTACATCACCTCAAATTCATGATAAATTGAATATAACAATAACTTACAAGTTGCAATTCATAAAATTGATGTATATGATACTACTACTAGCAAGAATTTTTCGAAAAACAAACTCCAAGAAATCTATAATATTTCCATTGTTTCTCTTTACTAGTAAGTAGTAACAATCTTCTTCAATTAACCAAAATGCTCTCTTTATTGCCTAATTTAACCATATTCCTGATATTTTTAGACATATCTCTCACGCTGCGAATAGAGACTCAAGGGCTACATGGGAATCGCCCGACAACAGCTCATGCACAAACAAGCAAACAAAAGACAGAAAATAAAAATAGACTATTGTTTGGCGGTAGCTGGACCTACACATCTTTATTATTTTGTAATACTTTTCAACCATATATGTGCAAACATTCTTGTATAGTTTGTACATCTGTAGTAAGTGGATTTATCTTCGCCCAGGTGTGAAGGTGAAATACTGCATAAATATGTGCTTCCAAGCATCCCAATGAGATCATGCTAACATTTGAGCACCTTATCACCGGTTTCATATTTGCCACGAGCTTTGCTCATTAGGTCGTTGATTTGTCAACTTCTCCACAGCTTACAATTTCTTCATGTCATTTTGTCTTCCAGTTTTCTTAATTTCTCGTTTTATGCATCTCTTATGCTCTTATTCTTAACCATATGAAACTCATTACATCAGCTATGTGATATTCCAAACTAAGTTGTTGCTAAATGTGATCTTCTGCAAAGAGAAATATGGCAAAATGATATGTAGAAAGAAGCTGCTCTAAAATCCTATTGTTTCTCTTACAGCAAAATGGAATACTAAGATGGTCTGACAAAGAAAAACGTGGAAAAGAAAAGTGTGATTCAAAAGATAGCTAATTCCTACAATCCTTATATGAACAAAGCTGTTTCATAACTTGAAACTGTTTAACTGTAGCACTTAATGAAATCAGCGGTTGTTAAAGTAAAATTCTTAGATGTGATTAGATGTTTATTTGTTTAGGTATTTCGGTGATTGGGTTAATATCCATACCTGCTTATGTAACCTCCTAATCTGTATTTACGAGAGATTAGGTCAGACAAATTATAACTTTGCCTTCTCTGTTTCTCTACAATCTTCAAAGTCAGGTATCAAATATCATATGGCAACTTTGCTTTGGCAACTTTGCTATATATATATATAAGTTGATGGTTGTGAGGTGGCAGCTCATGTTGCTAAATGAGCTATCAAGAGGTAAGGGTGATGAGGCCCACCCATGTGATGTGACTTTTAAAGTGGGCATCACCACATGGCTAAATCTTGGTAGCTCATTTAGCATAATGAGCCGCCACCTCACAACCATTATTGCTACACACATATATATAATTTGAACATATGTTCTAGAAAACATTAACCAGGGAGAATTACTAAGCAAGCAAGTGATTTCAATACCTTATTGCTGAGAAAAAGCAACTCCTCCTCGTGGTCATTTTTCCAAGAGGTTACATGTCCTCCATACAAATACACCTACAGACCACATGTGAATATATATATTATTATTCTCAAGTGACAACCATCTATAATAGAAGTTAACTATGCAAAAATATATGTATACTACTTGAATAAGATTTTTTTTCCCATGATTTTACACCATCTCCATGCCAAAAATATAGATAATTGAGAAAAAAAAATAGTAAGCGAGAAGGGAACTTCAAGATTGGTAGGCTACAATGAAAACTATGCATCCAATGAGTTCAAATGCTAGTCAAAAACCGTAACAGTAATAATGTATCCAACTAACAAATGAGTGAATCGAAATGGAAAACAAAATACCGACCAATTAAAAGTATAAATTTGACTGTGGTATATGGTGAATTTTTCAATATTCTGCCATACCTTATGTTCTCCATATGATTAATACAAAAACGCCCCAAATCAATGACCTTTTTCTTTACTATCCAGGTGAATTGATACGTATAATATAAAATCATTCGTTCCACCGAGCAAATAATAGTGATGTACTAAAAAACGCTAAAACATCTAGAATGTCTCGATTCAGGTGTTCCTCAATTTCAACATTCTGAAAAAAAATAAAAAAATTTAACAACTAAATGTAAAACTAACACTAAACCCCAATACGAAGATTTCGTACCACCACCTGGCATGAAAAAATTTATAGAAATAGATAGAAACCCTAAATCAAGAAACAGAGAAATAGATCCAGGTCTATCACTGCGCTAGCAAGGCATCCAGATACCGTTATAATCGATAAATTAATCATCATAGAAACTAATTATCCAAAATCCTGCAAAAAAAATTTCCCAAAATTGAGGTGAATGAAGAGACTATCACCGACCTCAGCAGAGCTCCCCCTCACTTCTCGAAGCACGACCTTGTCGAGGCCATTGACGCCCTTCACAATCTCAACTTGAGGCTTCTCACCCGCCATCGCTCAATTCCCATAACCAGAAACCCTAACCCTATAAATCCTCTCTCTTTCTCTCTCCTCTTCTCTTTCTATCTCTCTCTCTCTCTAAAACTTGCACCTGTTGAGAAAGAAGGACGATAGTCTTGCTCCTAGCAGAAAGAGCGAGGGAATGGAGTAGACCGCCTCTCCTATCGCCGACACTACAAACAAAAGTCTCCGCATAAAAATATTCTATACGACCATATCATACACCGTACGATGTAGTCCATATAGAAATATAAACGGTGGATCCTTTGTTTCTATGCGGCTTTGTTTGCGTGGATTCGCCGAGCATCGGAATCGATAGTGCACTCCAGAGAAGAAACCAAAAAAAGAAACCGCCCTTAATCTGGTGGGACCCAAGAGTTTATAATACTGGTGGAAAGTGGGGTATCGATTCGTCCGTAGGAAGGGATATTATTTCATTATTATAATTACCTTTTAACCTACGCTTTGAAGAATTGATTCTCGGTGGGCCCCGCTGGGGTACAGATTCGGGGGAGGTTACAGTTAAACCGCCGAAAGATCTTGGTGACGATTGGACGGTTGATGGGAGACTTGAAAATGGACGGTGGAGATTTTTTCATAGTGGGTTCAATAGTGGACCGTTGTTTATGGACCTCTGGTTATGGGCCTTGAGGGAGGACGAATTTTAATGGAAGCTGTTTACTTTGTGAGTGGGGATTTTTTTAGGTATACTAGTTTTTATGCACGTACATTACACGTAGTTTAATATTAAAATAATTTTTATCAACCTTAGATCCTAAGTCATATGTTGTGATTTTTTTATTAATCCGTATTCACCTAGTTAATAGTAATTTTTAACCTTATTTCTTGAGTATTTGATAGTAATATTTGTCAATTTGAAGTATTTGATAGTGAAAAATATTTTTTTTTAAAAGCTGTTGTTGAACTAAATGATTCACGTATTTGATAGTAATATTTGTCAATTTGTCAATTTGAAGTATTTCAACGATTTGTCCGAATGAAAATTTTCTTATTATTTTACAATGTATTGTAAAAAAAAGTCCTACTTCAATGCAACAAAGTTGAAGACATCGAAGTCCTGCATATTGGGTGACATGCATTAGAGTTGATGACAAGAGGAAACTAATTGTTCCTCTATGTTATGGGTAAGTAAAGAATTGTCACATTTTGTTAAGATTGGAATGGTTTATCATTGCCTTCTTTTCATAATCTTACTAATCTTATTTCTTTTGTTATTTTAGATTTGAGCAGAAAAAGGTTGGACCTATAAGTATCAACTCATGGTTTACCAACCATTTTATCATTCTTCTATTTCATTTTTATTTGTTTCTAATTGGTATGGTATTCTCTTAGAATTTTAAATCTTCTCTAAACTTGGCTGTCACTTTTTCTTTAGGAGTTCTGATATCAAGAAGAATGCAGTAGGTCTTATGTTGTGATGTGATTTGTGGATGATTCTTCAATGTGATGATAAGCTTGTATAACTTGGGTCATTTTGTACTTAGTTTGTACTAAATTTTGAGCTTGTTTGTGATCAGCTTGTATTATGATTTGTGCTCAGTTTGTACTTAATTTGACATTTTGTTTGATTTCTAGAAATGAAAAATGTATGCGCAGTTTGTACTAAATTTTGAGCTTGTTTGTGGTCAGCTTGTATTATGATTTGTGCTCAGTTTGTACTTAATTTGACCTTTTGTTTGATTTCTAGAAATAAAAAATGTATGCGCAGTTTGTACTAAATTTTGAGCTTGTTTGTGGTCAGCTTGTATTATGATTTGTGCTCAGTTTGTACTCAATTATGAGCTTGTTTGTGGTCAGTTTGTCCTCAATTTTGGGCTTATTTGTGGTCATTTTGTACACTATTATGATTTGTGCTCAGTTTGTAGTGTGTATCTGCTAAGCTTGCTTGTTCACTAGGTATCAGTTTGGAATTACAGGTTGCGAAGGAGCAATTAGAGAGCAAAATGAGCTGGTCTGGGTATCATTATATGTACTGTTTGTGTAAGCTATTTGGAATTGTTTTCAAATAAAAGTGGAAGGATAAAGTTGAAGTAAGCAGATAGCAAATAGCACATACAAGCATACACAACCTCACATTGTCTTCATTGTCACCTTCCAGTTGAAGCCGTCAAATAGCACATACAAGCTCACATTGTCTTCATTAGGTGACAAAGACTAAACAAATATCTCAACTCACAGCACTTTCAAGTTTCAACTTTCAGCCTTCCCTCGCATTCCAATCCTCTATTGCAAGAATCAAACGAATCGCTTATTGATATAGCATGGCGACAATCACTGTGAAACATGAGGAAGAATGCAGGAACAATTGAATATTTACAAAAGAACAAGAATGCTTATGCCAAAACCACAAAATGCATCAGGAAAAGCACAGAGAAAGCAAAATTTCTCCAACACTGCACACCATTGTGATACAATATAATCCAGATCCGAATATTTGGCCAAAAATCAATATAATCCAGAGTTGCAGATATCAGAGAAGGCTAGTCAATATAATAAAAGCAAGGTGTTGCCAAACAAAGTATATAAATTGTATCTCCAGTAGTATTCATATTAACTTGAATGCATACGGGTTATCCACATGAAGTATATAAATTGTATCTCCAACACTGCACACCACCCAGAAAAGAGAACCCACCATTGATTCAAACTCCTTATCATCTTTCTGTCACTTTAAAATAAGGATCTCAATGCAGTCACCTTGTCAGATCCAAAAGCCTACAAAATAAAATATGTTACAAATCAGCAATTATAACTCAGCAGAACATCTGAAAAGCTCTAAGTTAATAGACTTAAACCAAATAGACACATCCATGACCAAATAGACAACATGGATTCATCAAGAAACAACTATAAAATACCCAATAAATACTTCAGTTTAAACTAAACAAGAGCTTTGTTTAAATTGTTTGACAACTTTGACCATCAGTGAGTCCTGCTGCATTCTGACATATTATTTAGTAGGTCAGTCAGCGTTGCAAGCTATACTTACATTTCCCCCAACTTGGATAAGATTTTTTTTAAAAAAAAGGAAACTAAGAGGCGATAATGTATATGAACTGCTCAAAGTCAACAAAGCACATAAATAACCAGCTACAAACCTCATGTATATTCAAAATTTAAAAAAACATTGATGTAGAACCAAAATCAATTTGAGCTCAACTGCAATTGTTTCTAGCTCATCATGAGGAATATCTGTTACAAAATTGACACTCTTTGCTACTGAATCCAATCAAAAGACCAAAATTATAGGATTTTATTAATTCCTCTTTCATTATTAAAATCACAGAATCAGGAGACCTAAAATATAAGCTATAGAATAATTACCTGAAAAGGCGAGACCTTGATGAGTTTGAGCGGCGTCAATGGCGACGCAAGCAGCAACGGCCTAAGCGCTTGAGCAGCTACGACTTCGAGATGATGAAGATGAAGGATCGGAGAATGGATCTCGTGGAGGAGGATCTCGTGGTGGCGCACTGGAGCTCGTGAAGGAGGATCTCATGCTATTGACACGTATAACTCGGAAATAAGCAGCAGCTAACTAATTTCCAAATGCTAACTGATCCCAAATTCCTAACTGGTCCCAAAATTTCAACAAACACAAATAATTTGTCCATGAAATTGACAAAAAATATGCATGATCAAATTGCTGCTCTCCAAAGATCTTAAAAAAAACAAGTAGCACCTGAAATCTACATCCAAGTATAAGCTTAAGATAAATTTGCAAACATGAGAAATACTTGATATTCCTTCACAAAGGTTGTAGATCTCGCCCTCCTCTTGAACTTTGCTTCATAAAATTTCCTTCAAAAATAAATTTGGGGTTTCTAGGATTTTAAGAGGGGGTGGCTGCTGCTCAAACGTGATAGATGAAAGGAAAAGAGATAGGGAAATTCGGGTAATATATATATATAGTATAGTATATATATCATATATATCTATAATATATATTATATATATATATATATATATATATATATATAGTATATATATAATATATATAGTATACTATAGAGAGAGGAGAGCGAGAGCAGAGAGAAGAGAGATTAATGAGTATCCTTGTCATAGGAGGGGATTTCCTCCTTGAGCCTCTAAAATCAGATGATTGAGCGATATTGTGGATGATCAGCTCCGTTGAACTTGATCTACGTATTCTACCCAACAAACACCAAGTTTGGGTGAACCCGTCATCGTTGACCCTTCATCCACTCGTATCAATTTTAACGTTTTGAATGAAATAGAACTTTTCACATGGCTCGATGAGGGTCAAATCGACGACGGATTCACCCAAACTTGGTGTTTGGGGTTTTAGATATGTTGAGTCAAGTTCAACGGAGGATCATCCTAATGTCGCTCAATCATGTGATTTTAGAGTCGTCAAGGGAGGAAATCCCCTCCTATGATAAGGATACCATTAATCTCATATATATACTATATATACTTATACTATATATATATAAATATATATATATATGTATATATTATATATACAAGACTGACCCGACCCAAACCCAAACAAAATCTCCAGCTGTCGATCGTTCGATTGATCACTGGGGTCAGTCGAACGACCTGAACACTAAAGCAAACTCGACAAGTTTTATATATTGATGCACATTTACACACACACACACACATAATCAATCTCAAATCAATTACAATCAGATCCATTCATCCCATAATGATCACTAACCATAACAAAACTCTATTATTATTATTTGCAATAATAATTTCAAAATTTTAGGTTTTTACATGTATCAAGTCATGATGACTTGTTTTGGTATTTAACAGGCATGTTTTGTTTGCTTTGAAAATCCAGTCGAAGAGGGCACCCATGAGATGGGTGTTCTCAATGAATTAAGTTATTAGCAGCTATCATGTGTAACCAAGTAATAAAAATATTCACGTGAGTTAATTAACGGGAGGAATTGGACATCTCTTAGATAATGTGCAGCCCGATGTTGTGTTTGAGCATTAGTGGCAGATGGGTATGTGCACACAAACGAAGTAAAGTAATAATTCAAGTAACATTCCCAATGGGTACACCAAACACACAAGCATATCCTAAATAAGATTAAGTAAAAGCTGACTAGTTAGATGCACACTATCTTTACAACACACTCTTGGCTGTAGGTGCACTCTCGCTAATATCTCTGTGTTGATATTTTTCTAGTTATCCATTTTTATCTATTTAATATTCTGGATTTGAGATGCATGTTTTTTATTTTATAAAAGCAAGTAAAGTGATACAATTATACAGTCTTTCTTAAACTTAAATCAGTCTTTCTTAAACTTTTGCTACCAGACTTTGTCGTTTATGTTCTTCTTTCCGTTGTTATGTAGTGACTCTGATATATGTAGCTATTGCAGTAGTTATTTCAGACTTATGTCTGGCTTTTATGTATTTTGAGTTGATGAGATTGATATCAAACTCGTGATATCTTTTATGTTATTCATTATCTGTGGGACTTGGATATTTGTTCAATATATTGCTTCTACTATGTATTTGCATTGTATACTTGCTTCACTGTATATCAGTTCCTTGTGCTTGCCTTGATGTGTGATTCTATGGTTCTATTTTGAATATGATAAAAGAGATGTATGTATCTATCATTGTTATAGGCTTATGTATATACTTTTGGGTGGTGTTAGGCCCGGTTGTATATGTTGTTAAGCCTAGTCACAAGCCCATCGGGTGCTTCTAGGACACGATGCAGATTTATGATGAATGAAGAATTTTGGTAATCATGCACTTTGACGGTTGTTTTAAACATGTTTCCACTTGAGATATTTATCCTTAATATGGGTTTCAAAAGTTATAGTCTACACTTGAATCGAATTTCAACTCTTACCCAAAAGATGGTGGAGATGAAAAATATGTAGTTTATCCCTTTCTTCACAACCTTCAAAGTTCAAATTGATTTTACTGGCTACAATTGCAAGTGTCAAGAGAATATCTTTAGATATGAATATAATGAAAACTAGATTGCTTGGCGTATGAGATAGGTCAATGGATAAATGATTGCTTCGTAACATATAGTGAATCTGGTGTTTGTGATCCTATTAGTAATGGTGCAATTATGCACAATTTAAAAATAGAAAATCGTTGGAGTAATTTGTACGTGTGATTTTCAACCTCATCTCATTATGTTTTAAGAGCTGTTTGTGTTAATTCTAATTGCACTTGTATAGCTGAGGTTATTGATATAACTGTTTCAGTATTAGTAAGAGAAGAAACAAGAGTGCCTCCTCAAACTCTAATCTTTGGCCACGCCACTAGCATCATGTCATCATTGTTCCATTTAAATTGTCTCATCAAAATTTAAAATTATCTCATTATCCCAACTTATCTCACTTTATCCTATTTAAATTATCCCAATGGATTAAAATTACCCTATTAGAGTAACTATCCCACTTTACCCAATTTGTCATAGCGAATAGCCCTGCTAAATATCTACTGCAAACGTAGGGGTCGGGCTGGGCCGAGTCGGCTCATGAGCCCGCTCACTCGCCCGTGTTTGGACTCAACCCAACTCGCCCTGACGAGAGGCAACTCAGATTCGGCCCAGTACAGTAGCGGGCCGTGGGTTCGGGATGAGTTAGCCCCAAGCCCATGTGGGCCAGCAACTTGCTCGACCCATGAAGCCCGCTAAGTAAACTGGGACTGTATACGGGTGGGTCGACTCCCTAGACCTGTCCCGTGAGCCTATCCAAATTAGATATCTTTCTGTTCTATACAAACATTTTTATTACACTTTGTTTTAACTTCCTTTGTTCTTGGAATTTTTTAAAACTAGTAAAGCAATTATTTGTTGCTTGTGGATGTAGGACTTGCTCGAACCAAGTTGCACATTCATATTTGCCATATTTTCATTTGTTAAAGTATAAAAATATACAATTTTTCTTAATAAAATTATTTTTTGCATTTCTTATAATGATTAGATTGTTATTTTATTAATTATATTTTTTTTACATTTCTTATATTTTTTTGGTTGAATGTGGAAGAACGACTACAAGGAGGACGTGCGTCTTTCTTTGAGGAGGAAGATAAAGAAAATGAAAAAGATTGAGCTCTATTACAAGTTAGCATTTTTTTTATTTTTATTTACTTAAAGTTTATTGTAACTTATTATTGTATTTGTTAAACTAGTGAAAAACAATTAGTTGCTGGCCATGGAGTAGGGACTTGCCCCGAACCACATAAAATATCTATGTTTGCGATATTTCTCTCTACCGTTCCTTACAAATATATAATTTTACTTGATAAATTATTTTTTCATTTCTATAATAGCTAGATTGTTAGTTAATTAGTTAATTATATATAATTTTTAAGTGTTAAACAATACTTAAACATTATTAAAAGACTAAAAATCATTTACAAAATCCAAAAAATAAAAAATGGTGGGTTATGTTGGTTCACAAGTATCACAGCCTGCTTCGCTTGTTCTTGTCTCCTAAGTGGGCTGAGCTGAGGTCTAAGCCCGCGAACAAACAGCAAAACTCGGTCCACTTGTCTCCTTGCGGGACGTGGGCCGTCTTGTCTCGCCCCTGGAGCCCGCGAGAGAGCCAGCTCGTCCCGTTGCCGACCATGTTTGCTATATCCACTCCCAAACAGTAGCTTTGGGAGTTGGATTGCCGAAAATATCCTTTTGGACTTGGTCTGGTTTGGTTTAGAAGAAGGACAATTTAGTCCTCACACACCCCAAAATTACTGTTTGGAAGTGTGAATAGTTGGACCCGTTGCCGACCTCTATGCAAACCTCTTCCATCGAGTTATCGGACAAAAGTCGGGTACGGGTTCGGATTTGTATTGGACTCGGGTTAGGCGATTCTAACCGCAAGCGTTTCGTCTCTCCCCTCCTCAACTCCACACGCGATCGCTCACGCGGCCTCCTCCAGAACCTCAAAAACCTAGCGATCCCGGTCCGACCTCCAAAAGAGTTCGATTTCCACAATCAAGGAAGCCCTAACGATCTCACAACGCTCAGAGCTCATCAAACATCAAGTAGTTTCTTCGTTCTTAATCCTTAGTAGTTTCTCAATTTTCTGGAATTTTGAACTTTGCGATCATTTTTATCTCTGGGAATGGCAAAATAATTGTTGAGAATTTATTGTAATTGCTTTTAAGACGTCAAAAATTAGCATCATTTTTCGTCGTAAATTCTTGAATACTGTTGCCTATGATGAAATCATTCTGCAGTTCCAAGTCCGGAGAGGAAAGGGGAAAAGAACGAAAAAAAATTATAGTCGTTCAAATGAATTATGTAGGCTCAACATTATAATATCAAAACAATGCAGTGGATGATATTCAAAGGCGACTCTATATTTGAATGAAAACCGAATCTGACTTGAAATACTAGCAATCAAACTTAACCTCACGCAGATATGTCAGTATTTGTGGCAGTTCTATTTATGCTGTTAAGCTTTCTGTATTGGATGATCATTGATGAATGGAAGAATTTTCAGCGGATAACGTGGGAGTAGTGTTGAAATGCGACGACAAAATTGAGTAACATATAATCTGGAATGCATATGTTTACTTTCATGTGTGCAGTTTCTAAAAATTGATGCTTTTGTTGGCTATTGATTTAGGATGGAATAAGTTGACTTAATGTTTATTTGAAGGTCACATGTCAATTTTCTTTAGTTTACCTTTTCGTCTTGTAACCTTGGTGCATATGAGGAATTTAAATATCATTTTTAATCATTATTCTTTTCATTTTGATTTTTTTTTGCAAAATATTTGGAACATGATTTAACCTATACTCCTGATTTAACAGCATATGGATCAACTAAGGAAGCGCCCGTATCCATTTTCTGGAGAAGTAGTATGTTATCATATATATCCCCCATCTTTCTTTCTTGCTGAAGGAGATAGCTAGTTAAAGTTTTAATGTTGCACTTACATCTATGCATTTAGAATTTTGTACAAGAGGAGGACACACGACTGGAGACAACAAGAGCAAGATGTAATTAAAGTTTTTGTTTTTCGTTTGATTTTTAAATCTATATCTGTCTCATTCTGAAGCTTTAAAGCCTTGATTGTTGTCTATAGTATCAAAAGTTCTAAGGAGGCATGAAGAATTGAAGGAACGCCTTTCAAGGTAACCTCCTTTTTTAGCGCTAGAATATGTTATCTTATCTTGGTTGTTTCGCATCACCTATTAAGGATCTTTCATCAATGTTTTTGACTGGGAACAGAGATTCTTCTATGGTTTATGACTCTTCAGCAAAATCTTCACTTTATCTTCAAATTATTCTGCACTGGTTCTCCCATGTCCACAATAAACATTACATGCAGAACAATGACCATTTCACAAATAATAATAATTTGGTAAGATATCTAAGTGGTGTTAATGACGTTAACATTACACGTGCTGCACGATAAGTAATTTAAGATTTTCTATCCATTAGAACTCTTCAGCTCTTCTTATGTTATGGTACTTGACAGCCAGCTGAATAATGCCTACCTCGTAATATAGTCAATGAGCTAGTGTAGCGTCTTTAGAATCTTGATGAGGAGACACAATTTAGAAAACATCTCAGAACTGCTATTCAGAAAAATGCTGTCATTTCAGTCTTCTTTCTTTTAGTAGTTTCCAAGGTGCAGTCCATCAAAACCAACAGGCCAACATTAGAATGTTAGAGGATGCTTGACCTTTAACTAAATATGTTGACAACTTTAGGACATTGGTATTCTGGTTTGTGGCAGTCTTCCTGAAATTCGATGAACATTCACAAACTTTGACTATGGCACAATAGTCATTTTGCCCACAGGCATACTTCGATGATGCTATCTAATTGTGCAACCTTCAGCTTTGGTCATTGATATATCTCATGATAGGTTGATAACATCCCTGTTGGAACCAATAGGTTGATAACTCCATAATTCTGTATTACTGTCTGAGACACTGGTTGCCTTCTGAGATTTTATCCATTTACCAAAGGGATCTGAGCTTAGTGAGCAACATTATTCTATCTTAAACATTGAGAAGCAAGACTGTGTTCCAGAAAAAGCAGAAAATATTGGGTGCTGCCAGACTCCAAATTGACATGAATCCCAGTCTGATTTGTAAGTCATGTGATCTGGCGGCAGCTTTTGAGTCTGTGATAGCATCAAATCGAAAAGTTTGCTACCGCATTGTACAATTCTATAGTTACAGGTTATTGCAGTTGGTAATGATGCTTCTTCCTCATCAAAATACAGAACCATGATTTCGATATTGATTATGTATTGTTTTCTTCCTGTTGACTTCTCTTTGTTATGAAAATCTTAGCATCCTGTTGAGTCTACTTTAGCAATATACTAGTTTCTTCTTATTTTGAGGGGGGAAAAGCTAAGAATAAATATCTTTAGAGACAGAATCTTAGGTATCTTTTTGTATTCTCTGATTCTTCTGCAACAGGGATTCAGATAAAATGATATTTCTGCGTTTGCAAAAAGAATTTGAAGCTGCAAGAGCTGCTCAAACTGAAGGTTCCATTTTTAGAATTACTTTTGTTGTTTAGTTATTTGCCTGCCTCTTCTTTATTATTATAGTTTTCAAATTAGGAAATGGCAGGTTGAATCTTGATGAGTCTGCATTGACCTTTACTTCATTGCTTGAGAGTATTGCACTTGCTTATTGGTATCATATAATTTGCTAAACATTTGGCTGGTGTTGGTTCATGTGCAATTAAAACCTTGAGCAAGGACGCCTCGACTGGTAACTTATTACGATGCTACTCTTACTCAAGCTCACTTACATAAAAACTAAGAGTTCTTAGCAAACACTCATCACAATACTGTTACTCGAGCATACCCTTAACTAAAGAGTTCTTGGAAAACACTCATCACGATGCTACTCTAACTTGAGCACACTCGACTGAAGAGTTCTTAGTTTCTGTCTCAATGTCTCAATCCTTATATATGAATCTATGATTGAGTCAGTAGAATAGAAACAATTATGCACCCAAGGTTTTCCCTAGTGTATCCGTGTCACCATCTGGGCATATCAACATTAGGTTGTTACATGGACACTGGAGTGCACAGTACATGAAGAACAAGAAGGGAAGGCCTAGATGTACCACCAAGAATTCACAATAAGATAACTTCCATTCCTTCAAGTCTTCTCACTCAGTTACATGAGAACCAATTGCACTCTAAGAGATGGGTGAAGTTCTTTCTTCAGTCCAAATCAAGAGCCTTTACATGGGAACACATCACACTCTTCGAGAGTCTGAATGAACATCCTGTATCCATTCTAAAGTAAGAGCATTCTTTATATATTTCTTATGGAATCATTTTTAGGTACTTATGTGCTGGCAATTTGATCTAGCTATGCACTTGTTACTGAAATCACAATTCCTCTTCCTTTCCTTTTAGTTCTTGCCATCATGCTAAGTCTCGTTTTCTTCTTTCCAGGTACTTAATGAACCAAGAAATTAAATGCTAAATTGTAATTCGCCTTGCCAAAGTTCTGAAAGTTGTGAAAACCAGTTGAGAATACTCCTAAAACCAAGATAAGGCCTCAGCTACTTGCTTGGGCTGTTACAGAACCTAAATTTAACTTAAAACAAATACCAATGATTCAGTGGCATCACAAGACCTTGATTTCATATTTAATCGGACATCAGTTAACACAGGAGACTAAACCGAATGTAACATCTGATTCATCTGGGTTTTGATTTCTTCGAAAGCAGTATTATGGAATAATGGAAGGCTCTCTCTTTTCCAATTGTGTCTCTCATCTCATGTCAGATTGACAACCACTGATTATAGAGCGTCCCCAAATCTGAGCTCGTAAACTCAACCAATGTAGCTGGGTTAAAGCTGTTTGTTGAGGTTATGATCAGATACGAGCTGAAAAACCAAAATGTCAGGTAAATAACTAATCAAACATGAGACATATCACAAAAATTTAAGGATGTTTTCAGGTAAGCTTTATCATATGCCTTTTCAGTTATATTAGAGAAAATAGGTATACTGGGGATTTGCAATGATGTGAAAAGCTAACTGGTACAATGATCCATGCTCGATTAATAAAAATTGAAGGAACCTCAAAATTGGCCTCATGAGTATTTTATGGTTCAATACAGGTGCGAGCTTGTAGGACCCCAACAAAAGAAGTGCAATACTAGACCTGCTTCTGGGTGCTAGTTCGTTGCAAGCATTAGTGCCTGCATATTGCCTGCCTATGTTCTGTAACTTTAGCTTGGGTTATATTATTAGGCAATCTGGATATTTATGTTTTTCACGGCTTCCCAAACTTTTTATTCCTTCTGTCCATCGTATTTTTATAGGATGGTATTGGCTAGGTGGCAGATGTTGTCTTCCATGCGTGTATCTTTTCTTGTCCTGCTAAATTTTCTTTTTTGTCTATGGCTGATCCCCTCGGTTAACTTTTTTCCCCTTCTTTCTATACCTTTCTTCTCTAGAAACCATTTTTATCCGACTATATTTCTTTTCTGTGAGAGGCTGATGTCTTCCCATGCAGTTCAAGTTTTCCGTTCATAGCTTGTTGCACCTCTCAATCCATCTCCTGGAAGTAAATTCTTAGGTTGTGCCAGATCACCAGTAGATACTAGAATTTCAAACTTCCAGGCTTCCAGCCTTCATGAAGTGCTTTCTAAGTATGATAGTATCTTGAACTTCTTTACTTGCACTGTATTCCTTTTTCTTTTTGGTACAGTCACTGGAATGCATGATAGAAATCAATAGAAGACACATCGATACTTTATTTGAGTTGTGGGTTGAATTTTCCTTAGCGAGCTTTGGATATTTTTGATACTATTTTTTAGCATTTCTATCCATCTTTTAACCTGCATTACATTGTACGTGTCTAGTTGCACGAGGAAGTACTTTTGGTGTATTCTGCACTCTGAGCTAAAAATTTTCCATGTTACAGAAATATCTTTGGAAGGTGATCAGTGGAATGATGGGCTTCTTGCCACAATCCGGGAGAAGGTCTTTATTTCTTTATTTAGTTAAAATTTAATTGTTTGATTTGGCAATCTAGTTTGTGGTTTGACTAATATTTGTGAATAGAAGCCCCAAAAATTATTAAAACAACTTCAAAACTCCGAGTTGCTAAAGTACCCCTGTGCTTTCCGTTACACCTCGTTTGGTATATGGGAGTGAGTGGGAATGGAATGCTCATTCTCACTTCTCATTCATGCTAACCAAACACGAGGTCTTTTTTGGAAGCTGGAATACCCATTCCCGCTTCTCATTCATCCCACATTTTGTGGGAATTCGCATTCCCAATGCGATGGTAGGGAATGGGCATCTGAAAATTAAAATAACTTCCAAATGTGCATGATTGCTTATTAATTATTTAATACCAAAAATAAAAAATTATAATTATCACTTCATCTCTAATCGCGCCCAAACATGAGAATGTGATTGAGCATTCCATTCCCACATTAATTCCATTATGTTCCTTACTTCGTTCCATTCTCACTTGACTCAATTCCTGCATACCAAACGAGGTGTTAATTCCATATGCAACTGTTTTTTTATTATCAAATGTGCTTAAGTCATTCGATAACTGTGAGTTAGTGAGTTGTTGTGTCCTGTGCTTTCCTTTAATTTTTGCAAGTTTTGATCATGTGTTTCCCTTATTTTGATAATGACTATTTATTATTCGTTGTAGTTTACTATATTGATTATGGGTATTCATCATAAAACCTTTTATGATCCCTTTTGTTCCTAGGGTTCCAGTTGTATTCTGTTTAATTTATGCTTTTAATCTCAGAAATTTTTTGTTTCACAATTAGTAGCAGTTAAGCTTTACTACGGCAGGCTACATTGCCTTTGTGGGGATATTAGTGGCAATGTTTTAAATATCGGATATCGGGAAAATATCGGATGACCAAAATTCATATCGGATTGCGGATATCGGGGAAATATCGGGGATATGTGGTATATATCGGAATGCCATAATGAATGTTTGCATACATAGTAGAATGCATTAAAATGTAATCTCAACACATGTAATGAAATTTAAGCATACAAAATATGAATAATATATGTTTAGGATCACTAATCTGTTGGGAAATTACTCGGATTCCCTTAGTGCCAGATTTAAGAAAGAGCGAAAATTAAATGCGTAAAATTGGGGGACACGCAAGATTTACGTGGTTCGGCACAAAATTGCCTACGTCCACGGGCTGCTGCAGATCTTTCACTATGAAGAGAAATTTTACAACACTCTTAATTTTTTCTCACAACTCAATCCCACTCTGAAAATTGCTCACAATTTTCTCTCACAAAGACTTTTCTCTCTCACAACTCAATCCCACTCTGAAAATTGCTCACAATTTTCTCTCACAAAGACTTTTCTCTAAGCCTTTTTTTTCTCTCTTGTTCTATATGAGGAGTTGTTTCTGGGATGATTTTTCCTTAAGAGTTTGGGGGCCTATTTATAGTGTTTGGGAAAATACTATGCACTAATATTTTATTAGTGGTGGGGCCCGCGGTGGGGCCCACGCTTCATACTATTGCAGTCCAACTGAAGCTGAACACAGCTTCAGTTTGTCAATAGTCACCGTCTTTGTCAGCATGTCTGCCGGATTTTGAGCTCCACTGATCTTTTCAAGCTTCAAAATTCCATCTTCCAGAAGTGACCGGATAAAATGATACCGCATCTGTATGTGCTTCGTTCTGGAATGGAAAGACGGATTCTTCGCTAGATGAATAGCACTTTGACTGTCGCAGTATAAGACATTGTCTTCTTGTTTCTTGCCTAATTCATCCAAGAAATTTTGAAGCCACACCATTTCTTTGCTGGCTTCTGTAACAGCGACATATTCTGCTTCAGTTGTGGAGAGAGCAACTATCTTCTGCAGTTGAGAAGCCCAACTCACTGCAGTACCTCCTAGAGTATATACATACCCTGTAGTGCTCTTTCTGATATCAACATTTCCTGCTAGATCAGCATCTACATAGCCTGTTAGTATTGTATCTCCACATTTGAAACAAAGTGCTTTACCTGTAGTGCCTCGTAGATATCTGAGGATCCACTTGATTGCTTCCCAGTGTACCTTGCCTGGATCATTCATATACCTGCTAACAGCTCCCACTGCTTGAGCAATATCCGGTCTTATCATTCATATACCTGCTAACAGCTCCCACTGCTTGAGCAATATCCGGTCTTGTACAGACCATGGCATACATCAGACTTCCAATTGCTGAGGCGTACGGGACCTTCGCCATGTGTGCACGCTCTTCTTCTGTCTTCGGTGACTGTTCTTTAGAAAATCTGAAATGAACACCTAAAGGTGTACCCACTGGTTTTGCATCTTGCATGTTGAACCTGGAGAGTACTTTGTTGATGTACTCAGCCTGTGATAACATCAAAGTCCCAGACTTCGTGTCTCTCTTGATCCTCATTCCAAGAATCTGCTTTGCAGCACCAAGATCTTTCATCGCGAACTGTTTTGACAATTTCTGCTTCAAATTTATAATCTCTTGCATATCTGATCCTGCAACGAGCATGTCATCAACGTATAACAATAAAATAATGAAGCTATTGTCAAACCTCTTGATGTAGCAACAATGATCTGCTTGGCATCTAGTGAAATCGTTGCTGTCCATAAAGCTGTCAAACTTCTTGTACCACTGTCTGGGAGCTTGTTTCAATCCATACAAGCTCTTCTTCAAACGACATTCTAGATTTTCCTTGCCTGCCTTTATGAAGCCTTCTGGTTGCTTCATATAAATCTCCTCCTCCAAATCACCATGAAGAAAAGCTGTTTTTACATCTAACTGCTCAAGATGTAAATTCTCAGCAGCTACAATTTTCAACACTAATCTGATTGTAGTTAGTTTCACAACCGGAGAAAAAATTTCATTGTAGTCGATACCTTCCTTTTGCTGAAAGCCTTTGACAACCAACCTTGCCTTGTAGCGTTTGTTCCCATCATGTTCTTCTTTGATCCTGTAAATCCATTTGTTATGAAGAGCTTTCTTACCTTGTGGTAATTCAGCTAAGTCCCATGTCTGATTTGACATGAGCGAGTCCATCTCATCTTGCATAGCAGACTCCCACTTGACTGAATCCTTCACCTGTATTGCTTCGTCATAACACTCCGGTTCACCACTGTCAGTCAGCAACAGGTAGTGCAAAGAAGGCGAATAACGCTGGGTTGGCTTAGGAATTCTGGAGGAGCGTCTCACTTCTGGCGTGCTTGGTTCTTCTTGAAATGCTTCAGGGCTAGTCTGAACATCTTTTTCAGAAATCTCCTCAAATTCAGCAAATTCCTTTGTTTCAGCTTTTGTACTGGAGCTACTTGATTCTGCAGTTGATCTGTCTTTGTACATCACATTCTCATTGAATATGACATCTCTGCTTCTGATGATCTTCCGATTTTCATAATCTCAAAATCGGTAACCAAACTCATCACCACCATAACCAACAAAAACACATTTGTTAGATTTGGCATCAAGTTTACTTCTTTCAGCAGAATCTATGTGTACATAAGAGATACAACCAAAAATTCTTAAATGTGAAAGGTTTACCTCTTTTTTGCTCCAAGCTTCTTCCGGTATTCCACCATCCAAGGGAACTGAGGGTCCACGGTTGATTAGGTAGGCTGCGGTATTGATAGCTTCAGCCCATAGGAACTTGGGCGGCATGTATCCTCATGCTTCTGGCACGTTCATTCAAAGTTCTGTTCATGCGCTCTGCTACGCCATTCTGCTGCGGTGTCATGGGAACTGTTTTCTCCATCTTGATCCCGCTGTTTGCGCAAAACTCTTTGAATCTACTGTCTTTGTACTCTCCTCCATTGTCTGACCTCAACTTCTTTATCTTCAAACCAGTTTCATTTTCCACCATGGCCTTCCATTTTCTGAAGGTATCAAAGACTTCTGATTTCTTCTTCAGAAAATAAACCCACACCTTCCTTGTAGAATCATCAATGAAGGTGACATAGTACAGTGAGCCTGCAAGAGATGAAACTGGAGATGGTCCCCATACGTCGGTATGAATCAATTCTAACCTTTCTGTCTTGGGTGTCTTGCCAATCTTTGCAAAACTGACTTTCTTCTGTTTGCCAAAGATATAATCCTCGCATAGGCCGACATCTACATTCTTCAGATCCGGTAGCTTCCATTTTGACAGAAGTGTCTTCATCCCTTTCTCGCTCATATGGCCAAGCCTTTGGTGCCATAGGTTTGATTTTTCATCTGCATCTGTTACTGCAATGATATTCTCTAAGTTAGAGGTTATATAGAGAGTACCACTTTTCTTACCTCGAGCAATGACGAGTGCTCCTTTGGTAATCTTCCATTCATGACCCGAGAAGGTTGTACAATAACCCTCTCCATCAAGTTGTCCCACAGAGATCAAATTCCTTCTAAGACCAGGAATATGTCTTACTCCTTGCAGCTTCCATGTGGTCTGATTTGGCAATTTTAATCGAATGTCTCCCTTGCCAACGATCTTCAAGGTTTCATCATCTGCTAGATGTACCTTTCCGAAATCACCGCTGACGTAGTTCTCCATGATTTTTCGGCATGGGGTGGAATGGAATGATGCCCCTGAATCAAGAATCTATGATTCAATCGGACTGTTGACGCTTAGAATCATAGCATCACCTCCTTCCTCGGTTACGTTTGCAGACTCCTGTGCGTCAGTATTTTTCTTCGGTGCCCGACACTCCCTCTTGAAATGACCCTTCTTGCCACAATTGTAGCACTTGAAGTCTTTCTTTCCTGATCTAGATTTGCTCCTTCTAGATTTTGATCTGCCGTGATTTGAACTTCTTTCTGAAGTTCTTCCCCTAGACTCCGTGTGTAAAGCTGAGGAGGTTGAAGCTTCACCCGATTCTCTCCGTCGGATCTCTTCACTAAGAACCAGATCACGAACATCATCGAACTTCAACTTGTTGCTTCCCGATGAGCTACTCACAGCCGTGACTGTAGCATTCTAGCTTTCTGGTAGGAAAGATAAAAGGATCAACGCTCGAACTTCCTCATCAAACTCAATCTCAACTGAACTCAACTGGGTTGTGACTATGTTGAGTTCATTGAGATGTTGAGCTGTCGATGCGCCTTCCGTCATTCGCAAATTGAACAGCCGCCTCATCAAGTGAACTTTGTTTGAGGCAGAGGGCTTCTCGTACATGCTGCAGAGAGCCGCCATAAGACCCGCCGTGGTCTTTTCCTTTGCTATGTTGAAGGCAACGTTGCGGGATAGCGTCAATCGGATAACTCCAAGGGCTTGTCTGTCGAGGAGAGCCCACTCTTCATCCTTCATATCATCTGGCTTCTTTCCCGAGAGAGGTTGATACAGCTTCTTCTGGTACAGATTGTTTTCAGCGAAAGTTGTTTCCATTGCAGCGTGGTCTTTTCCTTTGCTATGTTGAAGGCAACGTTTCGGGATAGCGTCAATCGGATAACTCCAAGGGCTTGTCTGTCGAGGAGAGCCCACTCTTCATCCTTCATATCATCTGGCTTACTTACTGAGAGAGGTTGATACAGCTTCTTCTGGTACAGATAGTCTTCGATCTGCATCTTCCAAAAGCCGAAGTCCGCACCATCGAACTTCTCAATTTTTACCTTCCCTTCGTCTGCAGCCATCGCTCCCACTCGAATCTGACTTCCTCTGGATCGTTTCTGACAATTTCTGCGAACCACCGTGTATTAAGACACCTCTGCCGACAAGTCAGTACCCCCGGCAAAATTCCACTATTCACGAAATTTACTATTCACGTGAATAGTAATCTTGCAGAAATTTGACAGACGTCACAACCAGAGCTCTGATACCAGTTGTTGGGAAATTACTTGGATTCCCTTAGTGCCAGATTTAAGAAAGAGCGAAAATTAAATGTGTAAAATTGGGGGACACGCAAGATTTACGTGGTTCGGCACAAAATTGCCTACGTCCACGGGCTGCTGCAGATCTTTCACTATGAAGAGAAATTTTACAACACTCTTAATTTTTTCTCACAACTCAATCCCACTCTGAAAATTGCTCACAATTTTCTCACAAAGACTTTTCTCTAAGCCTCTCTTTTCTCTCTCTTGTTCTTCTATAAGAGGAGTTGTTTCTGGGATGATTTTTCCTCAAGAGTTTGGGGGCCTATTTATAGTGTTTGGGAAAACACTATGCACTAATATTTTATTAGTGGTGGGGCCCGCGGTGGGGCCCACGTACAATTTTTTCTTGCTCTGGGACCCGCTCACCTATCCTCTTCTGATTTTCCGGTGGCATGAGAATTTTGACAAAGCCGAAAGAGCCAAAGGCTCTTTCGGTGGCATGAGAAGTTTGAAAAAAAAACTTTCTTTTGTGTGCTTTCGGTGGTCTGCACACATTCTTTGACTAACATAATCAACCTTCTAAAACAAACAAAAATGCAAAACAACGTTGCAACATTCGATCTGCTTTTTTAGGGCAAAATGTCATTTGTATAATGGGGAAATCTTGATATCTTGCCCAAAAATTCCAAACACGGTATATTATTTTGCAACAAGCTATATAAAAAGATATATTGGTCCACATATCGGCTAATATATCGGCCATATCGGGGATTTATCACTCAAAATAGCCAAAAAGCAGTAAAGGATATTTAAAGACCATATCGGTTGCGGCAAGCCCTGTAAATGGATATATCGGGGGATATATCGGGCCATGTCGGGGATATTTAAAACAATGATTAGTGGAGGTGACACGAGGCTAACTTTAATTGTTTAGAGAGACCTTCATAGTTATTTTTATGTGTTTCGTATGACCTTTTCCCTTAGTTCTCAAATTCCAATTATCTTAGACTTGTTTGATGAACTTGACAGGCTATGTTTTCTGAGTAATATGTTAATTATGTTGAAAAGGCAATTAGTAGGTAAGGATTATTTTCTAAACTTTAATTTCCTGTGTAGTGCTTACCTTGTACTGACCTTGGATCCTTCACGTATGCATGTCAGGGTGTTAATTACTTTTTAATTGAGTTTTATCATAAATCTTTGTACTTTCAATTTGTGAGGACACTGGCATAACTTACTGTTTGGTAGGTGAAATGATGTTGCTAATGAGTTGGCTTGATGCTTTGAACAAGGTTCATATGGAAGCTGATAGAAAGGCAACATTGAGCGAGGCAAGCATGCCAACAGATCCTCATTTTCAGGCAAAGGTTACTTATAGGATTGGTAACAAGGTAACTATATGCAGCTTGGTTATTCATATTTGGCTGCAATTTCTTATGAAAATATTAGGATGGAGGCTATGGAGGACCCAATTAGAGTCGGTACCTTTAATCATGGATTGATTTATATCAAAATGTCCTTACAAACATAGACCGTCGATTACCGAAGTGGTCACAAGCAAAGTTTCAAATATTGTATTTTAGGGAAATATCAAACAGCCAAAATCCATATTGGATCAGATCGTGGAGAAATATAAGGGATACATATAATATAGTTTTCTAAAATGTAATCTAAACATACTTAATAAAAACTAAACATACAAAAGTGTAACTGATATATGTTTAGGATCACTAATTAATTGTAGAAATTTGCTTAGAGAAATGAGCGTACAAGAATTTACTAAAGACCTTGCTAGGGATGGAATTTTTGCTAAAAAACATTAAAGAAATTTCGTAGAATTATATTGTTTTGTGTCAAGCTGCATAAAAGGATATTGTTTTGTGACAAGCCATATAAAAGGACAATCACCCAACATATTAGCTAATATAGCGGCCATGTCAAGGATATATTACCCAAAAACTGCCAAAAAAAGAGGAGGATATTGAGACCATATTGTTTTGCAGCAAACCTTGTTAAAGAATATATTACCGATATGGGGATATTTAGATCAATGTTACAGCTTAATTTGCTAAAACCTCTCATTTAGGATTTTTAGACTTGATCTGTTTGACCCAAGATAGCTATTTGCCATTCACGTTTCGCACGTGCAGGCACACATGAAAAATAGTTTGGTTTGGGGTGGGGGTGGGTGTGGGGTGTGGTTGTGTGGAGGTGATGGAGGATGTTGATCCAATCATTTCTTCTATTCTTGCCCTTCTTCTCTTTAGGTTTGTCTTTCTGCTCTTTCACTACTGACTTTCTCATTGCTATCAAAGTTTCTTTGAAGGACTTGGTTCTCTTAGTTTTGCTTTAATTTTCTTAAATGTAAAATATGTCTAGTCAAATGACTTGGACAGTTACATAAGGAGCCATAGTTGATTCTCTATATAAATATATTCAATTACAATTTTTTATTTGAGGGAAGAAGGTGAGATCATTTGCACGTTAGATTCCATATCTTGAGTTTATAACCTTGAAGCCTAACTTTATTTGCATTTTATTTTTCCATAATTCTGAAAGTTATATTAAATGTGGTACATAGACATATACATACACATGTAGACATACATACAACTAGTTTTGTTATTGTGGCATTACTATTGTTTTTGCATTTGTCCTTTTTTTCCTCTCTCCGAATAAGAAGGCAAATTTCTGTATGTGCTTATTTTCTTTTGATGCCATGCTGGGTTTAAATGTTAGGAAACCTTCTAATAACTTGATTAGTTAATGACAGTTTTCCTTGTTTGTAGGTAATTTGTTGTCTCGATGGTTCGAGGTTTGGGATACAGTACGAAACATTTTTTGCTGGTAACATGGATTTTTTTTATAAAGTTCAGAATATTTCTTTTTGTAACTTTGGATTTCCCCTTTTCTCTCTCTCCCCTTTTGCTATGAGGATGATGTAATAGCCTGGTTTTGTAAACTAGTTAGAGAATAGATATTTAATTTTGGAAAACACCAAAGCCTTTGTCCCAACCTTTGGGGCCAGATACATTAATATTTTAGGTCATCTGTATTAATTTTTAATTATCACATGCCTGTTTGCCTTTTTTCAAGTTCCTTAGGTCTACTCCCGTCTTTGTCGCTCCATCTTAACCGAGCACATTTGATAGCCTCTGTTACACATACCAAGTCATGTCAAGCAATTCTCATTCAGTTTATTGCCAATTAAGCCTACTTGTATTTTCTTATGGATTCCTTGTTTTGTATTGCCACTTACCCCCCTCTAAACACTTTTAGCTGACTGGAATTCAAACGCGGGAGATGTGTCTTAGTATCTTACCATACTTTTCATTTGTTCAGTGCTATGCAACTTATCAAGTGTTTTCAGCATGAGTTTTTTAAACTAAATGATTCCTTTTTTTTGCATTATAATGTCCTTTTGATATTCAAACAAGATTGAATAACAAAGAGCGCGTTTGGCAACTGTGGCGTTTTTGCCGTTTCTGTTTTTTTAACAAAAACAAAAAAACGCGTTTGGCAACCAGGGTGTTTGTTTGACTTGTCCCTTTACAAAATCTAAAAATTAAACACTTTTCTCAAAACACCAAAAATGTGTTTTAAGATTCTGTTTTTTCATCCTAATGCGCGGCACCCCGCTCGTTCGCGGCTGTCGGGCCGCCGCGACCTCCTCGTTGGTTATTGGCTTCCGTCGCCACGCCACGCTGCCGCGCTGGCCGCCACCGCAACACACAAAAAAAGAACAGGGAAGAAGCACGCCCGCCGCGCTATTAAATAGGCCCGCCGCCGAAAAAAAAAAAAAAAAAGGCACCGCAAAAAAACGTCGTCTGGGCCCGCCCGCCGCCCGCAACAACCAGTTGCGGGATATGGCCGCCCCGTCCGACCAGTCACGTCCCTGGCGCCGCCACCCGCCGTCGCCAACCGACCGTCACCGCTGCCATCCCCGCGTCAGCCGGTCGCCTAGCCCTCCGTCAGCCCGCGGCCAGCAAACCTGCCACACGGATATAGGCGCCGCCGTCGGCCACGCAGTCGGCCCGTCACGGGCCCGCTACGTCGGCACCCGCCTCACCACCGGCCGCACTGTGCTGCCGGGCCGCCGCCGGGGGCCACTCTCCCACTACGCGAGACCGTCAGGCTCCGCCGTCCGCCGTCCGCACCCTCAACGCCGCCGTCACCACCACCGACCCGGCCAGACCCCTGCGCCGGTCAGCCACTCCGTCGCCGCATGCCGTCCTCGCCCTGTCGCCGAACACATCTACCACCCGCACGGCCGCCGCCCGGCCGCCTCCCGCCGCCGCCTGCCCGTCGGACCCACGTTCCCCCCTTCCTGCGCCCGGGACGGCCACTCGCGCTACGCTGCCGGTAGCTAACAGTCGGTCGTTCGCAGAATGTATAGGAGGTAGATCAATCGGTCGGCAGTCTCGCCGCGCACACGCGCGCCACCTGTTCGCCGTCGTCGCCCGCCCACTGGCGCTATATCAATGGTCAACTAGTTTGAGCAGAATGGTATTTTCAAAACACATTTGAAAAAGAAACACCATGGCATGGTGTTTTTTACAAAAACACAACAAAAAAACACACTGATTACCAAACACACCAAAATTATCAAACTAGTGAGTAAATAACCTCTGTAATGTTTACTGCCCAAAATAATTCCAGTTAAATTCTCAGTTCATCATACCAATGAATTTATGTCAGTAAGTTGTTTCATTTATAACTAAAACAAAGCCTGGAAAGTCTTATGTGATTTGCATTATTTTTCCAAGTCTAGCTTAAAGATGTCTCAGTTGTTTGGCTTCTATTGATCTGTGTGACTTGATGCAGCTCGTTACCTTCCCGCAAGCCTCATTCAGGCATGATAGGTCTCACATTTTCAATCAAGTTTTGGCTAAGTCTGGCTGTGAAAATGTAAATTGGGGACCATTCTGATTTGGTCCCACTATCGGCTGGCCTTAACCTGACCTATATTTCACAGTTGGCAGACAGAATGTACTTAATTCTATCCTTTGCTTGCCTGTTGTTATGACTGTCGCTTTAGTGCATGACAACTCCAGTAAATACTTGATTTCTTGATGTCCCTGAATGAGAATTTGTCAAAGCACCTTGGCGAGGAAAAAACTTATCTTTAGAAGTTACTATTTCTTTGAGACCACTGATAGAGCCCCCCTGCCTTCTTAGGACTTAAATGATTATGACTTCCTAAAATTTAACTGATTCAACATAATGTCTACCCTTACCTATAGAAGTCTTTATAATCTAACAGATCTGACAATCAATTTCAGAATTTTAAATTGTTTCTCCTATACTCTCACCTTCTCATGTAATGACAGCCCCTTCTATATTCCTATTTAACTCTTCTATATTCCTATTTAAGTGCCTTTTAGTTTCACATCAATAGCTTTTGCCTTTTAATTATACATCAATAGCTTTTAACATTCTTCAGTCGCAAATGCCACCTCTAATGCTCCTGTTTTTGTATGTCCTTACTTAGCATTATGGAGGTGACAAAAATCTTGTTCAGAAACACTAACATACTTTGTTGGATTTTTTTAGCATCAATATCTCGATCTAGTAAGAATGGTTTTTTTCCCCTTCCTTTCCCCCCCTATGATGCATACTCCAAGGAATAATCTGTTCAATTTTAGAAGTCCAAGACTAAGTGTTCAGGATTGCTTCAAATTGGTTGGAAATGAGGCCCCAACCTAAAAGAGTAATAGATATGTTTAAATAATAATATTCATTTATGGATAACATTTTCCAACCCTTGATATGTCATTCATTTGGCACAAAAAGTAAACCAAAAAAAGGGTTTCTTAACTTAATTCCCTGTTATGTGCATGGGCAGTTGTTCAGATCAAAGTTTTATTTTTGTGTGTTACGTGTGTTATCATGTGAAGTTTAGACAGAAGTTGGATATTTTGATTCTACATGTGATGTTATATCTACTCTTATATCTATTTTCATGTATGTTAATGTTTTGTTGAAACTTTTACTAGGAATTAACTATGATCTTCCATTTTGCAGGGGAACCATGTGAAATTTATCATTGTGTTCTTGAGAGCAAATCATTCCTTGAGAAAATGAGTGTAGTTGAACATACTATTCCTTTCTTTCTCCCTATACGAGAAGCAGAAAATGATCTACTCTCTTCTGATGCAAAGGTGTGCCTGCTGCTTGCTGTTACTATATAAATGTCTTTCTTGTCTGAGTCTCTGACCCTTTTAATATTTGCTAATGAACCTGCTGCACATGTTCCATAATTGCTTTTTTCAGAAATTCATTGACTATATTGGAGAAGTTTTGGATTGTTATGTGGAGAGAAGAGAGCAGGTATATTGATGATGATGTTGTTGTTGTTTTTGTTTTGACTAGATTCATAATTTTTGTCTGTTACATTCACTTCCCCCTCTGTCCTTTATAAAATGGCAATTATCTTAGTGTTATCACCTAATTGGCTTCTTATTGAAGGATAGTTTCAAACATAATTTACATTCTCATGTTAAGGTGGGTAATTGGAGCAAATGAAGCGAGCAGGTGCATTAGATATGTGATAACTTGTAATTGAGTGACTTGATATGTTATAGTCGAAAATTTTAAAGTTGAGACTTTTTTTTTGTTACTGGATACTGGATATGGGTCAAGGAGGTAATATGGTTTAATAACACAAGTGCTGCACTAGTGTAGAAATGATATTATTATTATTATTATTATTTGGATAAAGAATACCCGAATCGGGGTTATTTCCATGAAGAAGGATTATAAGGTTTATAGTCAAGCTATGGAAACTCTCACTGTTTCTCAGAAATATTATATAGACATGTTAACACAATCAACTTTTCTGTTGGTGTTATTTCTTGCCTTTCTTGGTAGATTTAACTTGAAATTACCAAAAAAGAGCTTGCTTTTCTCTCACATTTTGCAGGTTCGCCTTATTAAGGAGCTCTATGGAAACCAAATCGGGGATTTGTACCATAGTCTTGCTTACAATTTGATTGAATTTGTATTGGATGACTTTGATTGGTAGGTACCTGTATCTTTCACTTGTTGCGGCAGAGTCACGTTGCCTTTTGTGAACTGTAGATCATCTTGTTTGTAACTGTATCTATATAATCTATGGTACAAGGGTACAAGTTTGTACGCTGTAATAAATGAATCACAATCAACTTAATATGTGATCCTGGAATCTGGATCCTCCAGAACATAGTTTTCAACTGTACATTTTATCCTACCTGCGAGAATGTTAATATCTATACATCACGGATGCAACACAGGAATCAACACGATGAGTAGTTTGACCATCTAGATACAAGTACTTGCATGTTTGCCTGTGCATGCCCTTATATATAAAGGGGAGCCATGGTGCAATGTCAGGAGTTGTCACCATGTGACCTGGAGATGATGGGTTCAAGTTGTGAAAACGACCTTTTGAAGGAAAAAAAAGCAAGGTAAGGTCGTGTCCGGTAGATCCAAAGGGGTCTGACCCCTCCCTAGACCCGCGCATAGCAGGAGCTTCATGTGCCGGGCTGCCTTTTATAGATGTATATGTATGCCTGTGTCCATGAATGTGTATATGTATGCACGCGCGCACACACATATTCATACATACACACACATTAATAGTTATACTAATACATGTTTGCCATCGCCATTCGTCATGTATATGCTTTAGGCCATGTCTATCAGACAATGTGACAAGGGTACACATCAAGATTCATAGAATTACTAAAACCTCCAAACCACTTTATTAAATTGGCTACAGTGCATATTCATACAATGGTAAACTCAATGTTGAAGCAAACTGTGGTATAAGGTTCCAGACTTGCTAGTAGCGATTTCTCAAAATTTATAAAGAATTGATTCTATACAAAAGGATAAATTGTATCAAACATCATTTTGGATTGAAAAGTAGTTACATACCAGAAAACAATAATCAATCACCATATGATTATATGGTTTAGCTCTGATTAAAAGGAGGAACAACTACAGGCCGAGCAATAGGCAAAAGGAACCGATCAATTAAACGGCTGCATGTTGAATGATAGTAGAGTTGGTTAAGCACTGACATTCTGGGCAGAAGAATGCAAAACCAATCTGGGTAGATGAATCCTATCCGTATCTGGATGGATGACAAATCTCATGGTTTTTCTCCTGCTTTGTTGTAGCAAGTATAACTGCAACAGAAACAAATATAGTCGTAAGGTACAAAGGTGTGGAAAATAACAAGGACAGAACTAATTGCCAGCATCGTTTTGTGTTACCAACTATGCTCGATTTTGAGGTTGTTCATCAGATCTTTACTCATCGCAGGTTACTATACTGAGGGATTAGTCAGAATCTAATTATTGTATAACAAACACGCAAGCCATTCTGCAACTTTTCTTTAAAGCCAGTGGAACCCTTTTGTATGTAAGTTCAATGATATCCTCTTTTAACTTTTTTTTCCACTACATTTGATGCAGCAAGGTGACTGTCAGTCTTAGATATGCCGATCTTGTTTCTGTATTGCCAAGTAGAATCAGAGTGCTAGCATGGCCTGTTCATCCTTCAAAGAAGATTTCAACAATAGAGAGGAAAGGGTTTGGCACAACACTAGTTCAGTCTGTTCCGTCTCGCCTTTCTTATGCTGAGGATGCACTGAGAACCATGAGCTTGCCAGAAGGTGCTATAAATAAACAATTCTTCCATAAGCGTCAAAATCATTGTGTTCCTTTATTATTATTGTTATTATTTAAAACATCAAATTAAAATCGTGGTTTTATTTGATTATTTGGAAAATATTCAAAAAAAATTCCTCGGTTTTTGTTAAAGAAGTCTCTACCAGAATTCTCATCCAGCAACCTTTCTTTTTCACAAGAATTTTGTAAATTCAGGTTTCCATGAATTGCCCACAAGTATTTCATCACTTTCATTTAGAAGATGTTGAAAGTGTTCATAATGATACCTGGCTATTGTTTGATTCACAATATTTCTTCTTGTATTATTGCTTTTCTCATGGACTTACATAAAAGATTTCTCTCTCCAAGTTTGTTGTGTTTGTTTCTTGGTACTTTGGCGAACTTTTCATATTGGTGCTGAATTTCTCCTCAGTTGAACATTTTTGAAAGACAGAATTGTAACAGAAATAAGCACCGTATATCTACATTTTTTTTGCCCAAGGTCCACTCTAAATTACTTTTTCCATTTCGTGCAGCATATGCTGAAATTGTGCTGAATCTGCCCCAAGTGCTCCGGAAGCTATTTCCTCATCTTGGAGGGTTATAACAAGTTCATACCGGCACATCACGTAAAATAATATGCTGCTGAAGTCTTTTGCGATTTCACTTTGAAACAGAAAAGCAAAAGTTACTTACTGGAACCATGCTGCTGGATGTGGTAAATCATAAGAACACGTTGTTGAACATCGATAGGTATTTTGGATAGCGTTAAGTTTCACATTGCGAAGCTTGCTTGTTTTAGCTTTGCTACTCCTGCAGTCACAGGTTGCATTACTAACTCTGGTTCCAGAGTGGTTCCTTGTATATTGTTCTGATTGCGAACTATTTCCTTTATGTGCCTATTCTATATGTAATGATTTTGGTTTTTCTTTGTATGTTTTTTCTTTTCTATGAAAAATTTGAGTTCCTACCGCGATGGCGTTGATTAAGTCGAATGAAGTTGTATGAGTTACTTTGTATAATTTGGATTTACTTTATTATTGGTAGATAGTAAAATGATTTATTTTTAAATAATAGATGTATTATTTGTTGGGCAATGACTCCTCTTGAATGAAAAGTGATTACAATTGGCGAGATATTTATTAGTCCATCTAAAATACGTCATCATCAGCTAACATATAAGTAAGACGGTCGTGAGTTACTTTAGTCGTATTTTTTTTAAAGCAAAGATAGTTATTGTTTGTGAGAAGGGGGCTGGTTTTAACATTTTTGTCCTAACCGGATGCATCTTGGATCTACGGTCTGGAGATCCAAAACAGTTGGTCGTACAAAGAAGAAAAAATGATTGAGAAAAAATGTTTATTCCTTGCGGTTTCCCCGACATTAGTCATATCGCGAACCAGTCCCTTAAGTCATTAAAATTGCTGTTACATCCCAGAATTCTTAAGCCGCTTAGACACGAGTCAATTGCTACAAGTTGTTCCAAATCGACCCCTCCAACCAAGTAAGAATGTGAGGTATAGGGAATCTGGGGGCGTAATGCAATTCGCAATGTTTGAGGAGGGGGCTGATTTCCAAGACACAAAAGACACGAGGGACTACTGTTGCTGCTTGCTGACCCCCAATTTCATTTTTCTTCTTGGCGCCTCTTTCAAATATAGCTCAGGGATCGATCTTTTCATCTCCGGCCTTAATTTTTTAGGTCCCAAACCCAACCATCATCACCCGCCCATATAGATGAAACCCATGCTGCTGCTCCCCAAAACCACCATCCCGAAACAATTACCCCCCTCCTCCTCCTCCGACTCCCTCCTCTCCCGCCTCCTCTCCTCCCACTCCTCCTCCCCCAAATCCCTCCGCCTCCTCCTCCTCTCCCTCCCCACCTCCCCCCACTCCCCCCACTCCCCCCCTCCCTGACTCGGTCCTCCACTCCCTCTCCCGCGCCCGCCTCTTCCCCTCCGCCGACTACCTCCTCCGATCCCTCCCTCCCACCTCCTCTCCCCCCGAACCCCTCTCCATCGTCCTCTCCCGCCACGCCAAGTTCCACCCCTTCGACTCCACCCTCGACTACTTCCGCCGCCTCGACCGGCTCTTCGCCTCCCGCGGCGCCCCCTTCGGCGTCGACCACTTCAACGCGCTCCTGCGCGCGTTCTCC